TAATCTGCCATGGGCCCCCGTACCCGCCCTCCTCATTAGCTGCTGCCAGGTCCAGAGTCTCTCATGGGTCCCTGTACGGGCTCCCATTGCTGCTGTCTCCATCGCCACACCTCTGCCATGTGCCACTTTCAGGTCTCCTCACACTGCTGGTGTGTTCCATTTTTTGTCATAGGGTGCTGGCAGATTACGGGCTCACCATTGCTGCTGCCTATGCCAGGCCCGTAATCTGTGCCATGGGGCCCCTGTACCGTCCTCCTCATGCTGCTGCCAGGTCCCAGCTAACTCTGGGTCCTGTACGGCTGTCCCATTGCTGCTGTCTCCATCGCCACACTCTGCATGTGCCACTTCAGGTCTCCTCACACTGCTGGTGTGCGTTCCATTTTGTCATAGGGTGCTGGCAGATTACGGGGCCTCATTGCTTGCCAGAGCCCAGGATAATGTGCCATGGGCCCCTGTACAGCCTTCTCATCTGCCTCTCCGCCCCTCATGGGCCATGTGCGGCCTAGGTCTCCATCCTCACATGCCATGTGAAGTGTGTTCCATTTTGTTGTCATAGGGTGCTGGCAGATTACGGGCCTCCCATTGCTGCTGCCCTCCCATCTGCCAAGGGCCCCCCCTACCGCCTCATGGCTGCTGCCAAGTCCACGAGTCTCCATGGTCCCTGTACAGCCTCCCCACCTCATGCACACTCTGCATGTGCCACTTTCAGGTCTCCTCACACTGCTGGTGTGTTGCCAATTTTGTCATCAAGGGTGCTGGCAGATTACGGGCCTCCCATTGCTGCTTGCCAGGCCCATTGCATGGGCCCTGTACCGCCTCCCTTCATCGCCTGCTGCCAGGTCCAGAGTGTCTCAGGGGTCCCATGTAGCAGGGCCTCCCATTGCTGCTGTCTCGCATCACACTCTGCCATGTGCCACTTTTCCAGTGGAGTCTCTCATGGGTCCCTGTACGGCCTCCCATTGCTGCTGTCTCCATCGCCACACTCTGCCATGTGCCACTTTCAGGTCTCCTCACACTGCTGGTGTGTTCCATTTTGTCATAGGGTGCTGGCAGATTACGGGCCTCCCATTGCTGCTGCCAGGCCCGTAATCTGCCATGGGCCCCTATATACCGCCTCCTCATGCTGCTGCCAGGTCCAGAGTCTCTCATGGGTCCCTGTACGGCCTCCCATTACTGCTGTCTCCATCGCCACACTCTGCCATGTGCCACTTTCAGGTCTCCTCACACTGCTGGTGTGTCCCATTTTTTGTCATAGGGTGCTGGCAGATTACGGGCCTCCCATTGCTGCTGCCAGGCCCGTAATCTGCCATGGGCCCCTGTACCGCCTCTTCATGCTGCTGCCAGGTCCAGAGTCTCTCATGGGTCCCTGTACGGCCTCCCATTGCTGCTGTCTCCATCGCCACACTCTGCCATGTGCCACTTTCAGGTCTCCTCACACTGCTGGCGTGTTCCATTTTTTGTCATAGGGTGCTGGCAGATTACGGGCCTCCCATTGCTGCTGCCAGGCCCGTAATCTGCCATGGGCCCCTGTACCGCCTCCTCATGCTGCTGCCAGGTCCACAGTGTCTCATGGGTCCCTGTACGGCCTCCCATTGCTGCTGTCTCCATCGCCACACTCTGCCATGTGCCACTTTCAGGTCTCCTCACACTGCTGGTTTGCAGATTACGGGCCTCCCATTGCTGCTGCCAGACCCGTAATCTGCCATGGGCCCCCGTACCGACTCCTCATGCTGTGACGTTGCAACAAGGTGGAATTCAACCCTACATATGTTAGACCGCCTTTACGAACAGCGAAAGGCTATCACAGATTCCTGATGTTACAAGCGGATAAAGGTACTCCCTGTGTAACTTAGATGTCAGCCATTGGCAGCTCATGCGTGACACCTGCCTCTTGCTCAGGCCCTTTGAGGAGGCCACGCTATTCGTGAGTCGGCAGGACTATGGGATGAACGACGTCATTCCTCTGTTGCACGTCCTGGAACAAATGCTGTTAACAATGGCTGGTCAGGGTGCGGTAAACATGGCGCACAGATCTCAACGCCACATGACCCCTGTGGGGGCAGGACAGGAAGAAGAGGAGGAGGTAGAGGAGGACATTTGTGCTCAGGAATTATTGAGTGAAATGGGTGGTTTTTACACTCAGCGGACAGGAGTGGAGGAGCAGGAGCATCTGGTAGAGGAGGAGGAGGAGGAGACAGAGGACCCAGATGCACCGTGGCAGTATGCTGTGGAGATGGAGGCAGGGAGTCCCTCGCATTCCTTGGCACAAATGGCCCATAGCATGCTCGGTTGCTTGCGTAGCGACAGCCGAATAATAACCATCAGACAGAGGGATGACTTTTGGCTGTCCACCTTGTTGGACCCTCGCTACCGTTCAAAAATGGTGGCCTTTTTCACACCTGCTGAGAGGGAGGCCAAAATAACGTACTATAAAAACCACCTATGTAGTCAGTTGGTCTCTGCCTTTGTGCGCCAACGTCCATCCTCAGACACTGTGGGCCCTGTGCGCTCGCGTTCCGCTGGCATGGCAGCAGGGGAGGGGTGGGGTGGTAGGAGCAGTGGCAGCTCCACCAGCAGCGGCTGCCTCAGTCTGCAGTCGATGATGAGTAGCTTTCTTCACCAGCGCAGTGAGGAAACTACTAACCAGCCGCAGCAGCAACAGCAGCAGCAGCATCAGGTGGACCTGGAGCAGGAGCTCAAACAACAGGCTTGGGCCTACTTGGACAGCACCCTGCCAACCGAGGTAGACAATCCCCTTGACTACTGGGCAACGAAACTTGACCTTTGGCCCCAACTAGCTGAATTTGCCCTTGAAAGGCTGTCATGCCCGGCCAGTAGCGTGGCATCGGAGCGCGTTTTTAGTGCGGCAGGAGGTATTGTAACTCCGCGGAGGACACGACTGTCCACCCAAAGTGTGGAGAGACTCACGTTTGTGAAAATGAATCAGACGTGGATTAGTCTGGATTTCAAACCACCAGTTCCTGACACAACTGACTAAATCTGCCATGAATCATGCCCCAAACATGTGCCACTTTCAGGTCTCCTCACACTGCTGGTGTGTTCCATTTTTTGTCATTGGGTGCTGGCAGATTACGGGCCTCCCATTGCTGCCAGGCCCGTAATCTGCCATGGGCCCCCGTACCGCCTCCTCATGCTGCTGCCAGGTCCAGAGTCTCTCATGGGTCCCTGTACGGCCTCCCATTGCTGCTGTCTCCATCGCCACACTCTGCCATGTGCCACTTTCAGGTCTCCTCACACTGCTGGTGGATTCCATTTTTGTCATAGGGTGCTGTATGGCCTCCCATTGCTGCTGCCTCCACCGCCACACTGTGGCTCCACACTCTGGTTTTGGCCCCGTGACTGCACAAATGAGTGAAGTGTGTGGTGATTCTAAGATCGACGGCACTCATCTGCATGTCATACTGACTGACAGTATTGTTTCTCTTCCCCAGCAGACTCCAAGGGCATTTAAATTAAAGGTACAGTGTTCTGCACTAATATGAAGGCTCTCTGAAGCCTAGAAAGACCCTTTTATAAGTTAAATTCGCAGCGAATATATTCGCATCGAATCAAATTTATTCCTCGAATTCGCCGAATCAGCCGAATCGAATTTTTGAATACTTCGCTCATCTCTACTAATGTTCTCCAGCCCCCATAATAGCTTTGTTGCCCTTCTCCGGACTCTCTGCAGCTCCAGCACATCCTTCCTAAGGATTGATGACCAGAACTAGATGGCATACTCCAGATGTGGGAAAACCAGAGTTTTGTAAAGTGGTAGAATTATAGTTTTATCTCTGGAGTAATTCCCCTTTTTATGCATGCAAATATTCTGCTGGCTTTGCTTTCTGCAGCTTGGCATTGCATGCCATTACTGAGCCTGTGATCTACTATGACCCCCAGATCATTTTCCATCCTTGAATCCCCCTCCTAGTGAGTAATTTGCATTTATAGTTTCGGCCTCCAAATGCATTACTTTACATTTTTCAGATATTAAACCTCATTTGCCATGTAGCTGCCCACACTATGATTTTATTGTCTCAAACACAAATACAGCATGTGCTAACACATTTGCAAGAGTATGCAAAACATATGTGAAGGGTTTTAAATGCTTCTTCATATTTTTCCAAATGTCTGCTTTTAATGCCAGTGAAAAAAAGCCCATACACTCAGGTTAGGCATCTCCACTTTTTTGTTCAGAAAAAAAAACATTCCCTCAGGGTGATGTACATTAACCGCTTCTCGTCCATCCTATAGCAGAAGTACTGCTACAGGGTGGCACGGGTGCACAAAATTACATATATATACGTGATTTTGCAGTTCAGGGTAGGGGGGTAGCCCTACCTGCGCTGCCATTCACGGCCTCGGCTGTCAATCACCGGGTCCCGGCCGGTGATTACTCTCCGGCGCCCGGTGATTGCTGAGCATCCCCGACGGGGGGGGGAGAACCGTTTGTAAACAATACAGTTCTCTACCCTGCCAGCTACTGCACACTGCTTTGCATGGCTGTGCATAGCACAGTCATGCAAGTGCTGCAGCGGGCACTGACATGCCCGCTGCCATGCCTGCTGCAGTCCCGCAGTCTTGCTATAAGTTGCTGATCGCCGCTATTACTAGTAAAAATTAAAACAAAAATACAAAAATCCCAGTATATATACCGCCATTTGTAAATGCTATAACTTTCACATAAACCAATTAATTTACACAGATTGGGATTTTTTGTTAGCAAACACATGTAGCAGAATACATTTTGGCCTAAATTTATGATGAAATGTTTTTTTTTTTTTTACTGGACATGTTTAATAGAAAAAGTCAAAAATATATTTTTGTCTCAAAATTGTCAGTCTTTTTTTTATAGTGCAAAAAATGGAAAACGCACAGGCGAGCAAATACCACCGAAAAAACCCTCTATTTGTGGGAAAAAAAGGACGTAAAATTTCATTTCGGTGCAGCATTGCATGACAGTTAAAATAACGCAGCGCCGTAATGCAAAAAATTACCTGGTCAGGAAGGGGGGTAAATCTTCCATAGGACAAGTGGTTAAAATGATTTTAGCAACTTTGTTGCAGATTCCTACCAGTTTCTGCTCTGAAGAAATAGCTGATTGTTTGATCATGTCCTTTGAATGCTGATTTTGAATGGGAGTGCCATGTTCATTATAATCAACCTGTGCACTCTCAGTGTTCTTAGGGAGTATACCAAAAATGAAATGTCTGTTGCAAAGGATGCCTAAAATCTGAGTTGTATCTTAGTTCAGACCTCTGGGAAAATTGGTTGGCCATAGAAGCACATTTTTGTGGGTGTTCTGTACACCAGCAGAGTACAGAACCCCTCCAGGTTGCCATGTTGCACTGAATTTTTTATAAAACATTAAAGCACTGCAGAAATATTAGAAAGAAAAGCACTGCAGACGGAAATGGAAAGGTCATTTTCAAAAGAATTAACTCACAATATGGCTTGTTTAGTAATTGTATATACTATGGTTATTTTTTTTTTTTTTTCCTAGATTGTTTTTTCCATGAATGAGGAACTACCCTTTACCTTTTAACCTCAATCTAAACTTAATGGTATTCCTAACCCTATGCCAATAAATATTATAATTTTATGGTTACTAATAGTATTGCTGAGATACTAATGTATAAAAAATGGTAGAACTTCAAAAATGTCATGCAATAAATATCGGGCACCTATTTGCAATTTGCAAAATTATCTGCACTTAAAAGCCCTTATTTTCTTAGTAAACATTTATTTTGAGGCTATGTAAGACTGGTTTTGCTTTTTGGAATAAAAGTACAAATACAAATGTTTACACTTCAAGGTAATGATCCTCCACCTGTCGGGCTGCAAAAGCTTGAGACCAATAAATACACTACACAATGACAACAGCAAAGTGCACACTCCTTTTAAAAATATTTACTACCACAAATTTCACACATTTACAAAAATCCAAGTAAATGTCCTGTAAATACACTGCTCAAAAAAAATTAAAGGAACACGTTTTAATCAGAGTATAGCATCAAGTAAGTTAAACTCATTGGATATTGATCTGGTCAGTTAAGTAGCATATGTTCCATTGCCAGAAGGCTTGCTATGTCTCCCAGCACAGTCTCAAGAGCATTGAGGAGATTCCAGGAGACAGGCAGTAACTCTAGGACAGCTGGACAGGGCCGTAGAAGGTCCCTACCCCTCAGCAGGACCGGTATCTGCTCCTTTGTGCAAGGAGGAACAGGATGAGCACTTCCAGAGCCCTACAAAATGACCACCAGCAGACCACTGGTGTGAATGTCTCTGACCAAACAATCAGAAACAGACTTCTTGAGGGTGGACTGAGTGCCTGACATCCTCTAGTGGGCCCTGTGCTCACTGCCCGGCACTATAGAGCTCGATTGGCATTTGCCATTGAACACCAGAATTGGCAGGTCTGCCACTGGTGCCCTGTGCTTTTCACAGATGAGAGCAGGTTCACCATGAGCACATGTGACAGATGTGAAAGGGTCTGGAGAAGCCGTGGAGAACATTATGCTGCCTGTAACATCGTTCAGCATGACCGTTTTGGTGGTGGGCCAGTGATGGTCTGGGGAGGCATATCCATACAGGGACGCACAGACCTCTACAGGCTAGACAATGGCACCCTGACTGCCATTAAGTATCGGGATGAAATCCTTGGACCCATTGTCAGATCCTACGCTGGTGCAGTGGGTCCTGGATTCCCCCCTGGTACACGACAATGCCCGGCCTCATGTGGCAAGAGTATGCACGCAGTTCCTGGAGGATGAAGGAATTAACACCATTGAATGTCCCCCATGGTCGTCTGATCTAAATCAAATAGAACACCTCTGGGATATCATGTTTCGGTCTATCTGACACTGTCAGGTTGCACCATAGACTGTCCAGGAGCTCAGTGATGCCCTGGTTCAGATCTGGAAGGAAACACCCCAGGACCCCATCCGTTGTCTCATTAGGAGCGTGCCCCAACATTGTCAGGCATGCATACGTACGTGGGGGCCATACAAACTACTGAGTACCATTTTGAGTTGCTGCAATGAAATTTCAGCAAAATAGACTAGCCTGCTGCATCATTTTTTCACTTTGATTTTTGAGGTGTCTTTTAATTCAGTCATCTGTAGGTTCATAATTTTCATTTCCATCAAACAATTGGGCATCCTTATGTTCCTAACACATTACCTAGGGCAGCACAGTGGTTAAATAGTTAGCACTTCCACCTGGCAGTAGTAGGATCATTGGTTCAAATCCCAACCATGGCACCACCTGCCTGCAGTTTGCATGTTCTCCCTGTGCCTGCGTGGATTTCCTCCCACACTCCAAAGACATGCTGGTAAGTTAATTGGATCCTGTCTTAATTGGCCCTAGTATATGTATGTATGAATGTAAGTTAAGGACATTAGATTGTACACCAATTGAGGGCAGGGACTGATGTAAATGTACAATATATTTGTAAAGCGCTGTGTATATAAGTACCTGAAATAAATGTAAAAAATAAAATACATATTAGTATAGATATGCAGCATGATATTTTCCCCATTGAGATCTGATGTGTTTTCAGAGTGTTCATTTAATTTTTTTGAGCAGTACACATCTCAGTATCTCTCATCTTAGCTTTTTTCCTGAAAGAAAACCTGTCAGAACAATGGCAAAGGAATAGCAAAATAATTAGTATGCGCTCAGTGACTGCATTGTGGAATTAAGTGTTTTTGCATACTAAACAAGGAGATTACCCAAAACAAAAAGCACAGCATGCACTCTGATTGAGGCTACATAGAGAATACCTAAAATATAACTAACTCTGAAAACAGGGGATGAGGGGATTACTGTGGCAAGCTCTGGTTAAGTGTATAGAAAGCATTTCTTGTTTTCTACTTTATCTTGGTTGACAGCAAAAAGCACTGATCCCCCTGAGGGCTCACTGAGTATTTGAGAAGTAAAATAGGTAAATGTGCCCCTTTGTTTCAACTTACCGGACACATTTTGGGGTTATTGATGACATTTCCCAGCCAGCTGGTTATTACAGTAAACATCTGACTGGGTTAATTGGGTAGTGTGAACTGTATGTAAATGTGCAAATAATTCTGTTGCATAGTCAAATATCTAAAGTCCTCCAGATCCAGACCTTTGAAGTGTGGAACCACATGTGTGTAAACCGGTGTCGTTAGCTAGTCTGCCACTAGGTGGCTCTGCCCCAGAATAGTGTGTTTGTGACAGAGACTAGTGTAATCAGGTGCTAGGTCCCTTTTAGTTAGAGCCCTCCTGTAGTGATGTCATGGAAGAGTCAGTGCTCCTACTGTATAAGCTAAGGTAGGGAGAGGCATTAGGGCAGTCAGGGCATGGGAGCCAGCTACCCCACATTGTGCAATTATAGTCTCTTGGTGCAGGGGCCCTGGACAGGGTGGAGGACAGAGTGAGATAGTTCTGCACCCCGAAGAGCTGGCTATAGTCATCCTGTCTCTTATGGTAATGAAGGCTAGAGCAGGTTTCAAAGGCTTTTCAGGCCAGGCCAAGTGTTCTCTGAAGTAAGTCTATCCCCTTGCAGAACCTGAGAGAAGTGTACTGGAGGTGCAGCTGTGGGTATCCTGTCTCTGGAATGATAAGCAGGGAGTCGTGAGATGGACACAGAAAGCCCAAGGCTAGCCAGAGCCATCTGAGTGAGTATTAATGACCCTGGGAGGGGGAGAGATTGTAAAAGGCAAGATGGCTGAAGGGTGAAGTGTTGTGGGCTGCTGTCAAATGCAACTGATGCGGATCATCCACCATACAGTATGTGATTGACAAAGTACTGTCAAGTGACCTCAGATAGTATGGCAATGTGATGTGACTGCAATTGCCATCTTCCAAAGTTACACCAGTAACATGCAGCATTATACTTCTTTTATGTAGACATTCCTTTCTTCGGAATATAAAGACTAAAGGTCAGATTTGTTGGGGAAGTAAAGTGCAGCATTCATACAGTACTTCTTTTATGTAGACATTCCTTTCTTCAGAATATAAAGACTAAAGGTCAGGATTGTTGGGGAAGTAAAGTGCAGCAATTACACAGTACATCTTTTATGTAGACATTCCATTCTTTAGAATATAAAATCTAAGGGCCGGGATTATTGGGGAAGGCCTCTGTCAAGAATTTGGGCACAGGATGGTGGAGGCAGAGGGCTACAAGCTGGTGGGCTGTCATTCTGTCTATAAAGAAGCCAGGCAGGGACTTGTATTCCTTGGTACACACATAGTCAGCCAATCACAAGCCCCCATACATGTGCGTCAACATTTTATGCGCTAATGTGAGTAGCAGTAAGATAGACCATAGTAGACCTTTTTTTCTCTTTTCAGCACACCACAAGCACAAATCTGCTCATTGTGCTGCACTAAAAGGACAGATTCATTTTGGTGCATGGGGGTTTGTTCATTAGGGTACCTTTCAACATGAATTGCATCACACTGCAGTAGAACCATCTGTTTCCTGTGGTACATTCTTTTGTTAAAAAATGCTGCACGTCTGAAAAATGTTCAAAGTGGAGCTCTGGTAGCCCATTCAACACAACGCCACATAAACAAGAAATACCACACATTAACCACTTGCCCTCCAGAATATTTACCCCCCTTCCTGACCAGCCCATTTTTTTGCGTTACAGTGCTACGTTATTTTATCTGAACATTGCGCAGTCATACAATGCTGCACCCAAATTAAATTTGTGTTCAACAAATACAGCTTTCTTTTGGTGGTATTTGATTGCCTGTGCGGTTTTTATTTTTTGTGCTATAAAAAAAAGGTCTGACAATTTTGAGAAAAAAACAATATTTTGGACTTTTTTCTATTAAACACGTCCAGTAAATAAAAATAATAAAAAAAAAATTCTCATAAATGTAAGCCAAAATGTATTCTGTGACATTTGCTAAAAATATCCCAATACGTGTAAATTAATTGGTTTACGTGAAAGTTATAGTGTCTGCAAATGGCGGTATATATACTGTAATTTTTTAATAATCTTTTTTTTACTAGTAATGGCAGCGATCAGCACATTATAGCGGAACTGTGGGACTGTGGCGGGCATTCTGACACTGGGGGGAACTGAATTGGTATCACTGACATCCCCAGTGACACCAATACAGTGATCAGTGCTAATAAAAAGCACTGACACTGTACTAATGGCACTGGGCAGGAAGGGGTTAACATCTGGGACAAATAAAGGGTTAACTGTGTGCTGTGTTTGTTTTACTATGGAGCTGTGTCTGTGCTTTCCACTGTAAGCACACTGTTTTGTATGGCTCTGCTATGCAGAGCCATACAAAGCAGTGTTCTGGAGCTGACAGGGGAGAGAACTGTATTGTTTACACACAGTTCTCTCCCCCTTTGGTATTACTCAGCGATCACCTGGTGCTGGTGAGTAATCACCGGCTGGGGCCGAGTAAACACCGGCTGGGATTGACAGCCGAGGCTCGCGTGCGCCCCCTACCCGGACATGCAAAATCACATATATATACATGATTTTGCACACCCCTGCCACCCTGTAGCTTTAGTTCTGTGCCTGCCACCCTGTAGCTTTAGTTCTGTGCTTGAAGTCTTCTGTAGATATCCATGCATTTTACCTCTTTGTTCACAAGACATTCATCACCACACGCTGTTCCATGCATGCGCTGACACTGTTGTCTGCCATCTTGATTAATGCTCTGTCATCTTGACTGGCCCGCGACATGTGCTCCGGCTGTCAGTAATAGGCCACACTTGCCACTTACTACTGCATGTAGTACCACCACGCTAGCATCCCTTTTTATACCCGTAAAAAGAAAAGTCCCTGTTTGACTTAAACGCCCCCTCTATGTTCGAGGAAACCCCCATGCCCAAATGCTCCATCCCCTTCTTAAAGCTGAACTACACCCTTTCAATTAAATATTTAAATCCTTATGCTCTTAACAATAGTAAATACTTAGGAACATAAACTATTTTTACCTGTTTCAAACTTTTGTTTTTTATTTTACATTTTTTCAGTTACTTCCTGGTTTCTGGCCTAGACCAAGATAGCGTCATACATACCAGGAGTCTTCATCGGAATATTTTTGTCTTTCATCTGGAGGAGGGAGGGGACTTCTCAGCTAAGCACACCCTCCTGCATGCATGCCTGAGCTAAGGGCAGATGGATTCCAGGAAGTAAATGCTACATGAATTCAAGATGGTTGCAGCTAGAATTGCTAGGGGAGTTTTTAAAAGTAATTTCTCACGAAAATAAAGCATGGAGACATGGATGATTGGGTGAATTTGCTTTTATATGAATTAAATATGAAATAAATAGCATTTTCAGTGTGTGGTTTTCAGATAAAGTTCCACTTTAGGCCAACTTTTGTCTACTGGTAAGTCAATATTTGCTACCCTACTAACGGTTAGCCGACAGCTAACAAAACCGAAACTGTGTTTCATTCCAAAACTGAACTTACTTTTGTGAATAGTTCTGTAAAACTTCAATACAATCACATAAACAGAAATTAGAATATGCTTGTATACATGTCTCTCACAAATGCACGCAATTAACACATTTCTTACAAACAGCTACCTACAAATCACAATGAATACATTTACATTTTGAACTGGTCTTCTTCTAGAAGCTAAAAAGGCTGAAGTGGCTTATGGAAAATCTTTATTCTTAACAAACATAAGAAGGGAATAATAAAAACTGGTGCAGTTGCATTGAACACCAAATAGATGGCTACCTACTCAACACAATGATGATATGCAGAACACAATACGTTTTTGTAAAAAAGTTTGTCTGGTTTGTATTTTATCGGCACAATAATTGTTAAAATGACGTTTTTCAGAATCAACTAAACAAATGTTTTCCTTTTTATCTATAAACTATGTATCACTCACCTACAGCTGTGCTCAAAAAAATAATAGCAGTGTGTTGAAAAAAGTGAATAAAGCTCAAAATCCTTCTAATAGCTTTTATTTCCATACACACAAATGCATTGGGAACACGAAACATTCTATTCCAAATCAAAACATGAAGAAAAATATATCAAATTTGTGTTGTTCCTCTAAAAAAATTGAAGAAAAGTGTTTGTATTCTTCTTTACAAACTCAAACATTCACTATATAAACTGAAAAATGTTTGAAGATTTTGCTTTCCTTTGAATCACTTAATTAATATTTAGTTGTATAGGCACTGTTTCTGAGAACTGCTGTACATCTGTGTTGCATGGAGTCAACCAACTTCTGGCACCTGTGAACAGGTATTCCAGCCCAGGATGATTGGACTACATTCCACAGTTCTTCTCTATTTCTTGGTTTTGCCTCAGAAACTGCATTTTTGATGTCACCCCACAAGTTTTCTATTGGATTAAGATCCGGGAATTGGGCTGGCCACTCCATATCGTCAATCTTGTTGGTCTGGAACCAAGATGTTGCACGTTTACTGGTGTGTTTGGGGTCGTTGTCTTGTTGGAACACCCATTTCAAGGGCATTTCCTCTTCAGCATAAGGCAGCATGACCTCTTCAAGTATTCTGATGTATTCAAACTGATCCATGATCCCTGGTATGTGATAAATAGGCCCAACACCGTAGTATGAGAAACATCCCGTATCATGATACTTGCGCAACCATGCTTCACTGTCTTCACAGCGTACTGTGGCTTGAATTCAGTGTTTGGGGGTCGTCTAACAAACTGTCTCCGGCCACTAGACCCAAAAAGACCAATCTTACTTTCATCAGTCCACAAAATGTTGCGCTATTTCTCTTTAGGCCAGTCAATGTGCTCTTTGGCAAATTGTAACCTCTTCAGCACGTCTTTTTTTTCAACAGTGGGACTTTGCGGGGGCTTCTTGCAGATAGCTTGGCTTCACATAGGCGTCTTCTACTTGTAACAGTACTCACAGGTAACTTTAGACCTTCTTTGATCTTCCTGGAGCTGATTTTGGCTGAGTCCTTGCCATTTTGGCTATTCTTCTATCCATTTGATCGGTAGTTTTGCGCTTTCTTCCACGTCTTTCAGGTTTTGGTTGCCATTTTAAAGCATTTGCAATCATTTTAGCTGAGCAGCCTATCATTTTCTGCACTTCTTTATATGTTTTCCCCTCTCCAATCAACGTTTTAATCAAGGTACGCTGTTCTTCTGAACAATGTCTGTAACAACCAATTTTCCTCAGAATTTCAGAGAGAAATGCACTGTAACCAGCATGTACAACATTTGCTGCCTTCCTTCCTTCCTTAAATAAGGGCAATAATTGCCACCTGTTTTTTAAAGAATGAATGACCTCACTAATAGAACTCCACACTGCTATTATTTTGAACATGCCCCTTTCAATTAGTGATTCAATTACACAGAATCAGCAGCATGCATGTCATGGACTGTTGGATTTCTATTACTCTACTACACCTGCTAGTAAATTATTTGCCATGTAGAAATAACATTTCTACCAAAAACAGTGATTGATCAGGTTAGTGACGTCTGACTGCTATTATTTTGAACACCTCTGTACCTATATAGTCACATACTGGTGGCATAGTGCTGGCTTCTAGTTCTGTGTGACACTTGGCAAGGCCTGCTTTAAGGTCATTATTTAAATAATCCACAAAGAACACAGATACTGGCAAAATCTGAGAATAACTTTTCTTTCATGTTAGAGGAAACTATTGTTAATGCATTCTTCACATAGACCTTCAGTGTAATAGACTTCATTCCAGCTGAAAATTTGCTGAAATGTTTCTGCAGGGCACTGTAATTTGTAGAATTCCTATGAACTTTAAGCCAGCCATCTTGTCATCTTGAAAGCGACAATGCAATAAAGTTAAGTGATTACAAGTCAGTGGAAAATGTCAGGTTCTGTAAAGTATACTATGGGCATTTAGTCTCTAATCTTGGATCTCTGGGAGAATATACATACAACACACAGCAAAAAATACAATATAGTATGTGTATGCATCAACTCATTATTATTATTATTATACAGTATTTATATAGCGCTAAAAGGTTTGCTCAGCGCTGTACATTATAGTGCGGGACAGAACATGAGACAATACAGTAACAAAACAAAACACGAGGGGGTCAAGGGCCCTGCTCTTTCGAGTTTACAATCTAGGACACATTGCTCACAAGACAAATGCATCTTCTTATCACTCTGCTCTCTGTGTATGCCAAAATCTTGTGCTTTTGCCAGTGAATCACAGGGGTATGACAGGGAGCACAGCTATTCATTGAGAGAATATGGTGCAGCTTATTTTCTGTTTGGAGTGTACCAGGCAATGTGCATCTTGGTAGCTGCAAGTGCTCAAAAATAATTTCTTTAAAATAATTTACTACATTTTAAAAAATAAAACTACATCATACACCTAACACTAATGTTAATTGTGCAAATGTGTTATCTAGAGCAGGGTTCTCCAAACTTTTCAGTACAAGGGCCACATTATATATTTTACAAATATTTGTGAGACAAATAAAAATCAATTCTATAAATTTTTTGTATGTTCTCCCTGTGCCTGCGTGGGTTTCCTTCGGGAACTCCGGTTTCCTCCTACACTCCAAAGACATGCTGGTAGGTTACTTGGATCCTGTCTAAATTGTCCCTAGTATGTGTATGAATGAATGTGAGTTAGGGACCTTAGATTGTACACCCTTGAGGGTTAGGGACTGATGTAAATGTACAATATATTTGTAAAGCGCTGTGTATATAAGTACCTGAAATAAATGTAAAAAATAAAATACATATTGTATTGTGAATGTATAATATGTATAAATATGTATAATATATATATATATATGTACATTCACATCAGTCCCTGCGTAAATTGACGGCGCTATATAAGTACCTGAAATAATAATAATAATAAAAAATAAATGACCCCCCATACACCAGGGTCCCCATTGGAATCCTCCCTTACTTCAGGATGCCCATCAGAACACCCCCATTTACATCAGGCTCCTTTTCAGATACCAACCTCCTTATGTCATGGTCCCTGTCAGAGTTCCACCTGACCTAAGGGTCTCCATCAGAATGCCCCCTTACATTAGGGTCCCCATTAGAGTATTCCTTACCAAAGCAAGGCTTATAGCATTACTGCAGCAGCAGGGCAGGAGCTGGGAAGCAGAGCAGATCTGCATTGAGAAAGTTACTAGCAATCAATGACAAAAATGATGACACATCATCAGGGGGGGTCAGATGCTGGGGACTGCAAAGTGGAAGGGGGGATAGCGGAGACCATAGGCATCCTCTTCCAACCTGAATCCTAAATCTGTGCACATTGAGGATATGCCATTTACCCTAGTGGGCTGAATGTGGCTCATGGGCCGTAATTTGGAGACCCCAATCTAAAGGAACAGTAGTAGGTTAGTAAATTTGTACTACACAGAAATGTAAAATGATTGTGATAAATGTGAAGAAACAAAGACCAAACTAGTGGTGGTATATCACTTTCCAATTCTTTATACCTAGTCCATGTATACTATTTAAGATTTAGGGCTCATTCACAGGTGCACAGAGAGCCATACACCATAAAAAACAAGCATGCTTCTACACTTAGTGATACGTGTTTGTGTACAGCTGCCCATGCAAATTAATAACTGTGACTGTATTGTGACTGTACTCTGGTAAAAGCACATCCAAGGATTTACTTGCAGACAGAGACAGATGAACATCCTTAAAAGCAATATGTCTGTGATCAGGGGTGCACATCTGTTTCAGGTGTTGTATTATGCCATTTGCTTATTCGATTAGGTAGGGCAATTTGGACATGACGTCATCACGTGCACCACTGGCCAAGCTCACAACCTGTGTATTGTGGCTAATGCTAGCTAGCTATGTTTTAAACTGATTAAGCAAGCTGTATGTTCGTAAGTGTCTGGTTTGACACTAATAATAGGTAAGTGGACAATTTGTATTTCTGTTTAATAAAATAAGGGTTTACACGACAGAAACTTCTCTTTGCCTTCTTGGTTTCTCTATGATGGATTTTATACGAGTGATGAGGATGGATTGGAGATAAAGGCTGAAGGGTGGAGGAGAGCAGATTGGGGCACGGTTAACAGGTGCACTTTGTGGTGGATGATTGCTGGAATTATTGAACACACAGACACTTAGTATTTGGAGCACTTTTATTAATGAACTTTAAATTTGGAGCATGAGGTACTTTTGTATAAATTAATTTGGATATTTATGTACTTAAAGCAGAGTTCCGGCCCCCCCCTCCCAAAAATTAAAAGCCAGCAGCTACAAATACTGTAGCTACTAACTTTTAATATTAGGGCACTTACCTGTCCAGGGATTTAGCGTGCCCATTCTTCCATGCTGATGCCGCCATCCTGACTAAGGGAAACTGGCAATGAAGCCTTGCAGCTTCACAGCCGTGTCCTACTATGCATGCGCGAAGTGCGCTGTGCTTTGTGAATGGGCCGCAGGCTTCTGGGACTGTGAAGTATCCCTGAGGGCTGTAGGGGGAAGGAGTGGAGGCAAACTTCCGGCTAGGTTCACCGTGGAAAACTGAGCTGGAAGTGGGAGCAGGTACCTGTCAAAACCAGGTATCCGCACCCCCCTCCACCCAAAAAGTAGAGGGGGGGAGGCAGATAAGCAGAGCTTCCACTGTTGGATGGAACTCCGCTTTAAAGTTGAATGTATTGGACACTTAAAGTGCTACTAAACCCAGGACCCTGCATTCACTATATCTGGTCTCCCAGGACCCTGCATTCACTATATCTGGTCTCCCAGGACCCTGCATTCACTATATCTGGTCTCCCAGGACCCTGCATTCACTATATCTGATCTCCCTGGACCCTGCATTCACTATATCTGGTCTCTCACAGTACACAGAACATGGAAATGCAATTATTTTAATAAATATAAAATGCTAAATACCTTTTCTCATCAGACGTTAGAGCAGTCTTGTGGCTTCTATCAGTGTTCAGCCAAGCGCTAGCTAAAGCTTGTAGGAGGAGTTTTCTTTCTGCTCTAGGAGAATGCAAAACCCCTGACCTCTGTCTGACCAGTGCTGATTGGCCCTGTGCTGATCACATGCACTCTCCCAAGAAAAAAAAACCTCTCTAGCAAAAAACACCAAACTGTGCATGTTCAAAATGCCTACCGTTCAGTCTGCCTTATCAGGAGATAAGAGGTGGTCCCTTGAACAAGTGGAGGAATAGAGCAATCAGGAACAAATGGCCTTTTTACACAATGCAGAGGTTAACCCCTCGGGTTCCACAGTGAGTATAACAAGCATGCTTTACTGCATATGCTGGCTGATTTTACTGGTGTGGGTTTAGTAGCACTTTAATTTTTATCTATTAATTTTGATACTATTATACAACACTAATTTTGTTTATATGAAATTTCATGAATTTGTACACATAGGATGATATTATTTATATACAGCAGATATTGCACATTTTTGCACATAGTGATTAGAGATATGTAAATATTTTACTGCATATGCTTGAACCTTTGTTTTGCAGAACACAGCAGCAAGTTCACTTAAAGTGTTTGTTAAAGTGATTGTAAACCTCAGACATGAAATATGAATAAAGCATATACTGTAGTGTGAACAAAGTTCTATATTGTGTACTAAGTGTCATTTCTGTCTGCTTTCTGAGTCACTCCTGACACCAAGAAAGAAATAGTGACACTGAAGGGACCTCCAGCAGATTGACAGCATCAGCTATGTTCCTGTGAACTGTGTAGAGGGGTGTGTCTCTTCCCTCCAATCAGCTCACAGAGCTCTCTCTCTGGGCTCTGCAATGTGTAAATTCAGCTCCTCAGCCCCTTTTTTCTGAACTATCTGACAAACATTATAAATTCATCACTTTGAACACAGAAGGGAAGACTAAATATAAACAGGTACAACCTATGTAGGAGGATTTGTTTAATCCCTGTGTATCACCTGAAGCCAGTCCACTGGGTATATGGAAGGGTTTAAAACCACTTTAACCTTTACAGAAAAAATATAAAGGTGAACTAACACCTTAGACCTTCTCCACACCCCCATCTCCACTGTACTTACCTGCAGGGGCTGCCGAGCTGTCCGCACCCTCACAACCAGTCTAGCAATCTGGATTTGAAATCCCCTTCTTTTCTCCCTCTTCTGCCTGCAGTGCTTCTAGGACAGACCAGATTGATTCTGATTGGGCAGCATCATCACAGTGAATTGATTAGGTCTGTCCCAGAAGCACTGCATGGAGAAAAGGAAGAAGAGCGGGGATATCAAATCCCCATCCCACAGGACTGGCGGCAGGGGTGCTGACAGCTCAGCAACCCTGCAGGTAAGAACAGTGGGGATTAGGGGGGTTGGGAGGGTGTTCAGTGTTAGTTCACCTTTACATATTTTTTATAAAGCCAAACTATTCCTTTAACTCCAGTCCTCCCATCTCAGCAAAACATGCCATATGTTTTGTTCCATAAGACGCACGCACTCCCCCCCCCAAAAAAAATGGGGGAAAAAGTCTGTGCGTCTTATGGAGTGAACATGGAGCGGCCGGCCCAGAATTCCCCCCCATTGCTGCCGTGGTAGACTACCAGGCAGGCCTCTCACTCGGCTCTGCTGTGCAGAAGAACCTGCTCCTCGGTCCTTCCTGTTCCTCGGTCAAGCAGCATCCTGCTTTCACTGGCTGTCTTCTCCCCCTGGCACCGGCATCTTCAGTGAGGGCACCCAGCTGTGACAGCTTGCGGATTCACAGCCAGGTGTCCACTGCGCATGCGCGAGAAGCGTTGCGTTTTGTGAATGGCCCTGTAGTCTTCTGGGACCTGTCGTGTGTCCCAGAAGACTACCTGTCAAATTCGGCTCCCCAAGGGTCCGCAGTCTCTGGTCATCTCTTGTACTATATGTCCGCAGTCTCTGGTCATCTCCTGTAATATGTCTGCAGTCTCTGGTCATCTCCTGTACTATGTCCGCAGTCTCTGGTCATCTCCTGTACTGTGTCTGCAGTCTCTGGTCATCTCCTGTACTATGTCCGCAGTCTCTGTTCATCTTCTGTAGTATGTCCACAGTCTCTGGTCATCTCCTGTATGAAGTCCGCAGTCTCTGGTCATCTCCTGTAGTATGTCCGCAGTCTCTGGTCATCTCCTGTAGTATGTCCGCAGTCTCTGGTCATCTCCTGTAGTATGTCCGCAGTCTCTGGTCCAGGGGCAGACTGACAACTCATGGGGCCCCCGGGCAATAGGGGATCATGGGGCCCCTGTGTCCTTGCCCACATGAAAAATTCTATAAAAAAAGCTACCAGGGGCATTTCTTGGGGCCCCCTACTGACCCTGGGCCCTCGGGCAGTGCCCAAGTGCTCGAATGGTCAGTCTGCCCCTGCTCTGGTAATCTCCTGTACTAAATCCACAGTCTCTGGTCATCTCCTGTAGTATGTCTGCAGTCTCTGGTCATCTCCTGTAGTATGTCTGCAGTCTCTGGTCATCTCCTGTACTATGTCCGCAGTCTCTGGTCATCTCCTGTAGTATGTCCGCAGTCTCTGGTCATCTCCTGTAGTATGTCCAAAGTCTCTGGTCATCTCCTGTAGTATGTCCACAGTCTCTGGTCATCTCCTGTAGTATGTTTGCAGTCTATGGTCATCTCCTGAACTATGTCCGCAGTCTCTGGTCATCACACGTACTATGTCCGCAGTCTCTGGTCATCTCCTGTAGTATGTTTGCAGTCTATGGTCATCTCCTGAAACTATGTCCGCAGTCTCTGGTCCTCTCACTTACTATGTCCGCAGTCTCTGGTCATCTCACGTACTATGTCCGCAGTCTCTGGTCATCTCCTGAACTATGTTTGCAGTCTCTGGTCATCTCCTGTACTATGTCTGCATGTCTCCAGTCTCTCATCATCTCCTGTACTATGTGGCTGCAGTCTCTCGTCATTTCCTGTACTATGTCTGCAGTCCATTGGTTCAGAATATTTTTTTTCTTGTTTTCCTCCTCTAAAATCTAGATGCATATTATGGTCAGGTGCGTCTAATGTAGCAAAAAATATGGTACTTATCTTCCCTTTGCTCTCCCACTACTCCATTCACAGAGAATGACTGTGGATGCACCTATTAAATACTTAGAGCTTACACATGACAAGGGACTCCCTCCCTATGTGACATTTCTGAGCCTAGCACTAGTGCTGTCACATGAAAGGAAAGGGATTGAGTTGCATGCTCCAACATACCTAGAAGAACAGGCTATTTCACTTTGCTCCTTTTGTTTAAATGGAATGGTGGGGGAATAAAGGAAAGGTGATAGGTGCTGCTGGGAAGAAGAGAAATTAAAGTGGAACTTTACTTTCTCGATCAACATCGACTAGTTTTAATCCTTATGCTGCTAGCATTAGTAAATAGGTATGAAAGTATATCATATTTACTTGTTTTAAACTTTTAAAAAACATTTCTTTAGTTTTTTTCCTGGTTTCCAGGTCTAGGCAAATTACTTCATACATCTCAGGAGTCTTCAGGAGGGGAGGAGGGTTTTTTTTCAGCTATGTACACCCTGCCTGCATGCAAGAGCTAAGGGCAGATGGATTCCAGGAAGTAAATGCTACATGAATCATCTGCCCTTACACAAGATGGCAACAGCCAGAAATGATAGGAAGTGTTTTTTTCAAAGTAATTCAAAATAAAGCATGGAGACATGGATGGATGGGGGAGTTTGCTTTGAATATGAAACATGAATTAAACAGTGGTTTTGGTTTGTGGCGCTCAGGTGCAGTGTAGTTCCACTTTAAAATTAAGGGAAAGCCCAGGTTCACTTGAAAAGAAAACTTGAATGGTTTTTGTCCCCATCTTCTGCAGTAATGCAACTCTTAGGCTCCATTCACACCAGTGAGTTTTTAAGTGCCTTCTGCAGAAGCGCACTACAGTCCATTTAACAAGGTTTCCTATCGAACATTTCTACATCTATGCTTTTTTGAGCTGCTGTGTTTTTGGAAAGGGTCAGGGACTTTTTTTTAAAAGCAATAAGCTGCATTTTTGCTACAATAGAGTTCAATGGGGAAGCTGCTGAGATGCATGGTAGTGAGTTTTTGCAACGTTTTTGCTGCTTTTTCCATTTCTATTTTGCCCAGCAACAAAAAAATTCCACTTTACCCAAAAAAACAGCGGCTGAACAAAACGTGATAAAAATATGTCAAAAACGTATCAAAATTGCGTGTAGAAAAACGGAAAACAAACTGCAAAAAGCACTGGAGAAAGCATCAAATGTAAAATGCAGATCCAAGTCACCAGAAATTTTCTTCTTTCCAAGAATGCCCTGTTGTGGTGACCGGTACATTTTACGTAAATCGTAAGTGAATTGTTAGATGTGAATTGTAATGTTAAAACGCACCACACTCCTCTCCTCTGCTCAACTCATTTATAATCACCAGTAGCTGCAGATTTCTAAATACACATCACATTTTATGTTTTTAACCTTATACCCACATCACATAACTGCACCATGTTTATTGATGTGCTGTAATGGCACCAAAGGGAGAAATTGCTATGAGCAAATATCAATGCAATCAAATGTAAGGCTTCTGAATGGGGGAACATCTGTGCATTTATAACTGGAATATTTGTGCCATAGCACCTGTTGCTCCACATGCTTCATAAAGATCAGCCCTCAACAAATGTTATTCTTCAGATTTAGCATTTTTCATGAATACCAAAATGCTGGTTGTCAGCTATTGGAATTTTGTGTTTGGAGCAGATAGCATATTATATCAAACATATAAAAACAGAACCAGTGGGCATGCTCAGTACAATCAGCCTAGGAGATTTTTTTTTTACCTATTTAAGAATATTTAATATGGTGAAAAGAAATACAAATATAAAAACACATAGAATTCAGCTAGCAATCAGCTTTTATTTTCCTTACTGCTCTAAACGGGTGTGGTTTTGCACCATGCACAACACTTTTTTCTTAGCAATGATTTATTAAAGTGCACCCAAACTCTGCTTTGGCTGGAGAGGGGCAATGCAAGATTATGGAAAGGAGCAAGATAAAGAATGGAAAAGTGAGAAGAAAGGTTCTAGACCCATGAAATTAGAGGGTTCAACTCCACTTTCATGAAAAAAAAAGAAAATATTTATATAGCATATATATTATAAATAAGTCATATAGTAAAGTTAGTAAAATGACCTTTCCTTTTCAATCTGCAGATGCTGTAATTTTCTGGTGTACAGAACACCTGAAATAAAAGTCATTTAGTTCTTGACTCACTGATTTTCTCAGAAGTCTGCCCAGAAGTTGAATTTTAGGAATACTTTGCAATAGAAATGTTAGTTTTGTTGACATACTTTACAAGGGTTAAATACTTCTAAAGGGATGCAAACCCTGCAGCTTTTATCAAAAACATAAAGTGTGATTGATGATGACTATCACAGTTTTCTTATGCTCTCGACCAAAATGTCAAACCATCAAATGGTCGGTATCATGTGCATGGGCAACTTGAGATCTAACAGAAGCTAAGATGGCAGCTTCTTTGGCTATAAAGCCTCATTTACATGAGCATACTACATTGTACACCTGTGTAAGGGACGTGTTTGCCCACATGGGCATATACAGGTGTTCTGCACACCACCGAGCAGGCAACCCCATTAATGTCAATTTGGATGCACAGTCACTTCTCCCAATTTGACAGCCGTGCATGTTTCTGAACATGTCTGCATGTGTGCCCGCATGCCTGTCAATTTGGGAGCAACAGCTGCCGCTGCTGGATCCCAATTGATATGAATGGTACTGCCTACATAGGGATGTATTGAACACCTGTACATCATTGTGCAGGAAAATATGGCCATCACACGGGTGTATGTTGTATTGCAGCCATGTAAAAGAGGCCTAAAGGCCTAAAGGATAGAAGAGTTCAGTTCAATTGTAAGTTTATCAAACACTGCAGCCGATCATGGTAGCTGTAATGTTAATTCAAAGCTTAGCACCAATATCCCACCCCCCTGCAATGTCCTTTTTGCTTTCCTAGAAGATGTTTCTATTAATATCCCATCTTTGTACTTACTGTATGTTCTTCAACTGACACTAAAAGACTGAAACAAAAGAAGAGAGGTTATATTCAATATAACTGTCAGACTACAGATTTCCTTCAGATTCCAGATCCATATTCTTGCCCCGCTTCACCCAAGGAAACACATATACTATAAGACAGTTTATTGGATGGTGAAGAGCAGTGTTTTTCATAGACAAAAATATTTTCATGATAGTTTTTCATCAACTGCATGTGATGAAAACTAAACAAAAATAAAATTAGAATTGAGTCAATTAACCAAAACTGGGATGAAAATCAATTCCAATTTTCAGTTAGTCGACTAAAATCTCCAGTATATATTAGTTGACTAAAATCTAAAGGGTTTAATTAAATTGTAATGCATTATACAAGAATTTCCAAACTTGTTATGTACTCTTGGAGTAAAAATCTGATAACATGTTATCATTTATGGTATTAAGGTTTGAACATGCACTATAGACACAAATTTAGCCATTGTTATTATTATTATTATACAGGATTTATATAGCGCCAACAATTTGCTCAGTGCTTTACAATATAACAGGAGACAATACAGCAACAATACAGTTCAATACAAGAGGGATAGGAGGGCCCTGCTCCTTGAACATTCTTAAAAATAAAATCAAGTCTAATAAACAAACACAAATATTGCTTTTTGACAAACAGAAAAGCAACTTTAAAATATAAAAAAGCCCAAAAAACTGTAAACTCTATTGGCTGCAATGTCAGGCTGCAAGTGGGGATGGGGAAGTAAATGGGAGTGATGGAGTGCACAGGGCAGAGAACTGGGCAGTCTAGGGAGGCTGTTATGTTACATAGTGCTAAACATTGCTACCTTGCTGGGAGGGGAAACACACATCACGTGACATCCAGACAGACACGAATCTGACAGAGGAGTTCCTCTTCTGTGGTTTGCAGGTCATTGTTCCAGAACTCCCAGGAAGCAGGCAGCAGGCAGACAGAAGGAGCCAAAACAACTTGCCGATATAGTACTGGAGATTTTATTCGACTAAAACAACTAAAACAATTCAGATGACTAAAATATGACTAAAACTAGTCAAAATACTATGACTAAATCAAAATTTGAAGTAAAAAATTAACAGTAGTGAAAAGTTGTGATACGCAGCTATATAGCCTCTGTCCTCCCAAAGGATTATGTACTATCTTTTGTGGGGCAACAGAAGAGGGCTAAGAAAATGGTATAATTTCTTTTACATTGAAGGGACACTTTCTGAGACCTCTTAAAGTGTTTCACAGAACCTGTGGAAGTGGGGTATTTGAAACCCACAAAACACGTTGCGGCATAACTGTTGAGATCCCCTTTGCTACTGTCATCTAGGATCTTGAAGTTGTCTGATATGACTACAGCAAAGGATGTATATATTCTGAGAGTAGGTTGGGCAAACCAGCGTTATACTGTGAAACAAGTGTATTTTTTTGTCAATACATTGTGGATCTGTAAATAGGACATGACTAATGCATTGTACTTTTAATACTTTGTGAATAAATTTGTATAATTTTAATAGAGGTGTATATTATTATAGGTATATATTCTTAGGAACCTTA